CCGTAGTGAAATGCTGTCAACTTCAACACAGCTTCCAAGTTTCAGTGCCAGACTCTTTGCTTTGGGTGTTTGACACTAAAATTATAGCCATGTTGTCAGCTAGTGGCAATGTAGCTTCACTGAACCAAAAGGGATATTTGCCAACTGACAGCAGTTAAAAAGTCTCCTGTGTTAAAAAAAAAAAAAAGGGAAAGACAAGAGAGTAACTGGATTAGAGGTTCTCAAACTGTGTCCTGTGATCACTTGCTAAAGGGTCTTGGAAAGCTCTGCATTAGCTTTGCGTTGCCTTGACTTCCAACTGAATAAACATATCTAATGCTTCCCCTAAAATCTGCGTTTCAGTGTAGGTAACTACAAAGACAGATCCTCTCCAGTCACCCTGAGCTAACCAGCAGAATATTTGCAAAGGAAAATTGTGTCTCATGAATCTCCTATAATTCTGTGACATGTCAGTAAAGCAGTGGATGAAGTTGAGTCAGCTTAAATAATTTTCAAAAGGTATTTGACAGGGTCCTTTATAAGATGCTACAAATATTTCTTAAATCATCATGTGTGGAGATACAAAATATTGTTAATCAAAAATTGGCTAGGTGAGCACAAGCAGAGAGGAGGATTAAACAGTCAATTTTTGTAATGACCCGGTGATCATTTCTGGTTTTGGCAGTGAATGAACACCAAGTTTATACATATGGCTAGACTTTAAATCTAGATGATACCCATCTCCCTACTTGTTATTAATCAAAATTTTTTTTAATCAGTTCAACCATTCCTGATATCATGTGCCACACAGCAAGATTGATGGCACTAGATAAATAGCATTGCCTTAAGTCTAGAGTGAATACTATTATTTACCTCTGCATGGTACTTTTCCTGAAAAATTACTTACAAGCTAGGGTTAAAAGCCCCAAACAAAACACTGCCAAGCAGTCATTAATCCACAAGAAATGTCTGGTTACTTAATTGTTACTGCGGAAACTGAATTTGGAGCAAGGATACACAATACTATAGATTGCTTTATTTGAAGGTTTTCCCTGCAGTAAGAAGAAAAGCCAAGTTGGCACATTGAGTAAGATTAACTAGGCTTGGACCTTTATAGCTTGTAAAAGTGGACATTTATGTATGACTGCTGAAAACTGATTTACTGCAAGCAGAGACGAGTAGAGTTGCAGAATTGTAGAGTTACAGCGTGAGTGTGAATGAGATGTACCATCACCACCACTACCAAGATGTCTGTGCAAAACAACATCACTGCAACCCTCACAAGGAGAAATGTGTGTTAAAAAACAAAGAGGGTGCCTCAGAGCTGCCCCTCGGACTTGTGCATCTGGCTGCAGGAGGAGGGCAGTCACTGTTGTCTCAAACAAGCTGTCCTGCAGTTGGGCACACATGCTCGTTCACATGTATTTTTAAGCAGTCTAGTCAGGGCATCCTTCTTTGATCCAAAAGTCTTTGTTTTTCCCACTTCTGGACCCCAAATGTCAGTACCTTCTTTAGTTAACATTGTTCAGGACTTTAAGCTTAATATAATCAATTTTAAAGAAGGATCTAAATTGGTTTTAAATTAGACCATTATCTTGTAGTGGCTAGAACATTTTCTGATGCCAGGTGTTTCTGACTTATTTTTTTGTTTAATTTGCTTTTTTTATCTTTCTAATTTCAAAAATCTTTTGTGTCAATCAATGTTCTAACACCAAGTTGAAGCTTCTGAGGATCTTAAGTACATTTAAATTTTCGTCAGTCAATTCAAAACAGTTTTCAGTCCAGTGGGTGCTTTATGCCAGTACTGCCAAACCCAAACTCCAAAGACAGGCAAGTTACCTAAGCAGAGAAGAGAAACTGTACATGAAAGTTAATTTTAACATTAAAAGTTGAGTCCTTCCTGTTTAGTTAATTAAATAGTTGCCATTTGGGCTTGCATTTTCAAACATTTAACACAGTGTACTGAAAAAATTGATCTTGATTTCATCATATGTCACCACTAGTGTTTTTAATCTGTCTCAAATATCTTCAGATTGAACCTAAGATCCCAAGATTTGGCACACAGCAACATATTCTGGGGTTGTTTCTGTTTGACCTTGCAAGGTGTTGACACTTGCTGGATACCTAAATCCTTTCTCCTGAATTTTGAGATTCTGTTCTTGGCAGCCAGAAGAAGACTGTGCACATAGTTTAATGTTTCTCTTTTTAAAAAATATTTTACTTCATTTAAATCTTACCACTCCTCAGTGGTGACAACCTATAGTTTGGGATATTTTTCATGGTAGTTTTCTGATTATTTTTTCCTAATTCAATTTAATTTTCTAGTTGTCTGAATTTTAAAGTGTAGTGATAAATATACCATATGATCACAATTCAATATATTATTCTAGTAAATTTCCATCCAGCTATTCATGATAATGGCAATTACTAACCCTGACAGATATCAGTGGTCTTACTAAATCTTTGTGTCAGAAAGGGTTACATCAAATTTAAATTATGTAGAAAGCATTATTATATACCACAACTCAAACTAAAAAAGGAGAAGAGAAGCTAACTAGAAAAAAAAAAAAAAAGAAGAAGACGACCATTAAGGCTATTTTTCATTGAAGTGTGGATGAGAAATAATCTTGGGGAAAAGAAGAAATGAAAGATTTTGACATGTCAAAAAAAGGTCACCCTTATTTTTAATCAGCCCTCTGGTCCTTTCCCTGGATGAAGGCATCATTGTCAGACTCAGGCAGGCAAGGTGGGAGGAAGGAGCTCTGCTGCCGTAACAGATTGGTTTCTGCGTGGCATATAGCAGACTTCTCAGAAGATGTTTCCCTGAAGGTGACAGTGGGGGTCACCAGTCATATAACCTGGAAGAACTGCTTCTTGAGCAAATGGAAATCATAAGTACTGAGTAGAATATTTCACAAGTAGGATAACTTTAGGTCAAAGCTACCAGATGTTCCCAGTCTGTCTGCTCCCATTCTTCAATTGACAGAGATCACATGAAGCATTGCCCTTGAGAAGAAAGGGACACATAGTCATTCCTATGCATTCTATTGGGCTCAGCACCTGAACTTGTAGGGAAAAACCCTTCTTTTTGGGAACAGAATTTACCGGTGAAAACACCTTTAGTCTATATACGCAACATTACATTTTCTACAAAGTAAGCAAATGGTCCCGTAAAGAAAAAGCAGAGAAAAGCAGGTGTGAAAATTATGCTTTTTTTAGTCACAGATTTAGGGTTAAATATCCACATTGCAAATCTCCTTTTTGTCAATTTATTGTCATAAACCTTTACCATTGGAAAAATTCTTGATATGTAATTCCTTAATATTTTGCAAACAATAGCACGTGTGCCAGGTATTTGTAGCAAGCAACAATCTGATTGCCTATGATTTTTGTTGCCTGAGTTTTAAGAAGTTACTGTATATTAAAAATTACTATATCCTGTTATTGCTGGCACTTATCAGATAAGGAAGTCATAAGATGAATGATCTGCCTCAAAGAACTGAAAAGCAAAGCAATTCTGATACAGAAACTGCAAACCAGATGATGCTCTGATTAGAGGCACGCGCATAGATTGCAGACGTATAATAAATCATGTAACTTTTTAGCCTCAAATAAAATAAAAGAATGCAGTTTTTATTAGGAAATAAACTGTTTATCAAGAATGCTTTAAAGGTGACATTTATTACTAATAAACCATGTTGAAAGGCCTGATCCTTTTATTGGCAGAACAGTCAGAGACTTTCCACTATGTAAAAAATGCCACAGCTCAGTCCATGCTGGGTCAGGAAGCAGTTCCATCAGCGCTAATGAAGGATGGGCAAGAGACTCACATGCACTTTTTTCCACACAAGAACATTTTCTCTTTAAAAAAGAATGAGTCACAGAAATATAACTCCAGTATTATTTTGGGACTGATTGTGGATCTCTGCATGACTCCTTGGAATATCACTGAGAAACAATTCCACAGTCAGCTAAGGGTAGCATAACCCAGTAAAGCATCTGCCAGGCAAACTCTTGATAGTGTCAGCAAGCCCCCTGCTTAGGCAGGATGTTATTTGCTCTTGAGCTCTTCAAATGTATGGGCCAGATCTTCAGGGTTGTCACGCTTGGCACTACTTCTCATATTCTATTAAGTTACTGTGTACCAAATATTATCGCTGTTAGTGCTGAACATGTCAAAAAAACATGTCCATCCCTTAACATCCTGCACTAGAGAGGAATATGAAACCTCTCTCTTAACGAACTTCTTGTCTGAAGTGTTTAATTTACCCCTCCCCAAAAGCGGCCTTGCTTTGGAGACCAACTCATTCATGCTTGAATGATAACCGTATTGAACATGTGTCTACCTGCTGCCTGAAGCTGTGTCAAGGATGATCGCATACAAGTCAGGTCAAGCTGACCTGTCTCTTAGGTGTTAAAAAATGTCCCTCAAGACAACACAGGGAGGAGACGAAGATGGAGTCCAGCACACCTAGTTTAGGGCTTACCACATATCTGTCCTGAAATACAGGATGTCCACAAATACATTGTAGTTTGGAACTTATTCAACTCCTTCACAATGATAAAGGCAATTTTAGGAATTGAGTTTTGAGCAAGTGCTAAGCATTTATTATTCTGACCTTGTCTATGAAATCTATTTTGTGGTGAGCACATAGTGTGTACCCCATTACTTGGTCATGAACTGAAATTTCTATTCCCATGCTTCATGTTAGTCTTACTAACCAGAATACATTGTGTGATTAAAATGTGTTTGCAGATTGTCCAAAAAATCAAACTTCTTGCACTTGAGATGCATTATCTATTTGGGAAAATGAAACGGTGCTTAATCACTACTCTCAAGAGTGTGTAAAAATCATTGTAGCTCATGTAGTGTCTAGATTATGTAAAAACTGGGCATTTCGTAGAAGCTGCAACGACTTAAATATTGCACTACCCAGGCACTCTTGCTACTGAAATGCTATCATTGTCTCCTGTTCCACTGACTTTCTAAACACAGTTTGCTGAATGATACTGTTTTTCAGGAGATGACCCATTCATGGCCTCCACCACTGTCAGCTATTCACACACCAGGAAAGGCAGAGCAAAGCAAGTTTCCCTTCTCAAATAAGGTAAGATGTGCTGCATCATGTAGAACCATTCCTCCTGCACCTCACAATATGTCCTACACAAGCCCTGACTGAGTGTGTGAGGTCTCTAGGCTGAGGTTGATGCTGTGCTGATGATCTTCTCCGTACCTGTGTGCCACTATTCCCTGCATTTTCTCTGCTTACAGCCTCAGGAAGGCTATACAGTCTTGTTTGCATCTCTCTTGGCAGCAGAACTGATGCTGACGTGTGGGTCACACATTCCTCACCGCAAGGCAACACCACAGGTGTCTTGGATGGGATGCCCAGATGTGGTACTTTCTGTGGGCACCTGCTGAAGCTCCTGCCTCAGGGCACATACAGCTGTGGAGAGTCAGGAAGCTCCCCCTTGCACCCATTGCTCCTGCATCATTTGGCTTCACTAGCTGAAATTTTTGTTGAAGCCTTTGAGGTCTGAGGTGACCTTTACACTGGCCTCTGTAGTTGGGGACTGAGGATTGGGCATACATCTCCTGCCACCAACCTGACTTCAATGGGCAGCTTTGCTAGAGAGGCAGGCAGCCCAGTGCCATGATGCCCAGAGGGGCCATGGAAGCATTTGCCAGGGAAGTATTTGATTCCCTCAAGGGACCAAAGCCACTGGTCCTGCTGATGGTCCCCTAAAACTAGCTCCACTATTGTTATGTATCCCAGGGAAGATACAGTGTGGCATGATAAAGCTCATCAGCATGAGCTTGGGGAAACCACATTATTTATACATGGTAAGTCAGGAAGGAATGAAATCGGCTATCCCGTGCAAGAGCCAATAAATTTCACGTTGTATCACCATATACTGTTTAGATGTCACAAGCATATTTCATGAAGTGTTCAAGCTTGAAAGATGATATTGATGCTGTTTATAGTCTTTCTCCTGTTAATGCAAGCTCCTTTGGCAACTTTTAAGTCCATTCTGCAAAATTTAGTCCAGGAATAATTGTAACCAGAAAGCCAAGAAAACTTCATTTGCCTACAGTAAAACAGCTTTTCTGTGGATGAGTGTGTCACAATTTTGAAGTATCAGGGGTGTAACCCAAAATATGTCTGGCATTTTATGGAAGAAAAAGAAGGAAATAACTCACAATTTTCTCATTGAAGGCAGACAGATGACTAAAGATGGTAGGCGGGCTAGAGACTTGTTAGGTTAGGGCAAGTCCAGTAGGAGATAGATGGATTAGCAGCTTACAAGCAGGTGAAGTGCCAGATAGGGGTGACAAAGTGAAGCAGTGCTTGCAGCTCTGCAGTTTCTGACACAATTACCACCACACTATGTGCTTGCATGGCATGTATACAGATGTGCATAGGCAAGGTGCATACACGTACCTGTATGTATTGTGAATGCACTTCCTCACAACTAAATGTATTGTGATAAATATAGGAATAGGAGAACCCCAGATGAGAGAGCAAACGTATGTGAATAATGCTTGATAATTGACTTTCTCATATTCTGTCTGCCAGTTCATCCATTTCTCTGGGAAATTTTCTATATTGTCGAGCCATTTCAGAGATCTACCATTCATTTTTAAAGATCATTTTTAAGGTGTTTTCTCTTATCAAAGTAGAATTTCTTTTTTTTTTTTTTAAGCTTAGGATGGACAAGATTTCATTTAGCAGTATATAAGCATACTTTTGTACATATAATAACATCAGAACTGTATTGTGGTCTGAGTGATCTGCATGGTCAGAAATTAGTGTGCTTTGTGTGAGATGGGGAAGAAGTACCTTAAAAAACTCATCACAGTCCTGGAACAATCTTGTATTACTGACCATAGATTATGTTAATTTTAGACACCATTTCTATTTTAAAATAATTAAAAGTTAGTCTGTGGCTTAGTCTGAATCTGCAGTCATGGATTTTAGAAGGCATCTACTTTTCAGGCTCCAAAATGCAAAGAATGGTTTCCTAATTTTTCAAACGTGTTTTTTAAACCTTCATAAGCTAGCTGTTGCTTTTCACAAAGTGTGGTGTAAAATCATTATTGGACTTTGTAGGGGATGTCTCCGTAGCTCTTAAGAAGCTCTCCTGTAAGTAAACTACATAGCTGTCCCAGCTTTTTAAAGCTTGAGGACTACACCAAACTGTTGTGGATCGCACATTATTCAGATGAATGGGCCTGTCAGTTAAGTAGTGACCAAGGCCAACAAAGAGACTGCAAGGCTAAATTTGGGGCACATGCTTTATCTCTTAGTTCCAAGCCATGCATGGTAACATGAATTCCTTTTCAGTCTTAATGTCAGTATTGAGAGATCAATTCATTTGCAATGACTCTTCCAGCAAGAGAAGCAAGTAGACTGCAATCCCTTTTAACAGAAGACAGTTTCCAAGCATAAAGATACTCATCATTTTGGGAATGGGAAGAAAAGAAGCTTGTAGGACTCATACCCTGTTGGAAGGGTGCAAATCATAATTACTTTTCTGTCCATAAGAACTGAGTGTCAGCATCATTAGTTCGCATACCTGCCACACTGCTTTTAACCTGCAACTCAAGTAATTAGCGATCTGACAGCTTGACACTTTAAATTTATTAATTAGGCTATTAAAGTTGCAAAGGCCACAGCAACTCTAGCTAGACTGGTTTTGAAATCAGTCTAGTAATAAAAGCTAAATAACCGAGATTTATATATCACAAATATAACAGAATTGCACATTTGAAACTGCACGTGTGGATGTATCCATCATTATAACTATATGCTGATTTGATGGAGGGTATGTATGTGCATATGCTGCACTTCTATATGAAATCAGACCTCATTAACGAGGTGCGATCTGGGCGATCTGCATTGATTCACATTCTGGAAGGAGAGTCTGGGTCAGGTTTGACACATGTGGCAGCGCCCAATAGTCTTCCAAGTACAGCGCTGCTGGAAGAATACCATTAGGGAACTGCCCTTTATGTAATGGAGGGCATAAAGTTACTTCTCATCCTTAATTTTGAATTTTCTTTCTTTCTGGAATTAATTTGTACTCTTGAATTTACTAGGAATGGGCAATGACAGTCTCTTTATTTCTTGTTTTCCAAAGCTTATGGAAAATTGAATCAGTGTGTGATGTGATGGGCTGTGTGTGCTTTCCTTTCTCCTATCTCTGCCACACTTTGTTATGCACAAATGATCAGGCATTTCATGATTGTAATTTTATTAAAAGCATCTTAATAAATAAACTTTAAATGAATAATTAAATTTGTAAATAAGAGCTCACTTGATGCTTGTGCAAATGAGCTTTCATCTTCAGGTATTAGTTCTCTTGTGCAGGAAAAAGTGCTTTTAATTCTGCTGCCTGCTTTGCTCTCTTTCTTTATTTTTACTGTGATTTCATGTCTTGAAAGTTTGATCAGGTGTTTGATTTCTGGTTGTGTATATGTGAAATTATGGGATCATCATTTTGTTATTTGAGAATTAATTTACCCACTCCAGGTGAACTGGTGTCTTGTCACAAAGCTATTGGGTGATTATTCTTAGCAGAAGCTAAGTTATCATAGTGATGTTGTTCTTTACATGCTCAATTAATTTACTTTTTCCTTTCTTGTTGATTTAAACAAACTGGAGGAAATACACTGGACAATAATCTTCAGAAATGAAGACTTCAGCTTTTTTTTAGTTACATAAAGCCATACTTTTTTTGTACCTCAGTGGGAGCATTCTGTATTTGTCTATGAGATATTTGTATTAGCCTTTATCATTAAGACTAATTTGTTGAGAATCAACAAATTTTAAAGAATTGGTTAAAAGGAAACGTGAAAATGTGTACAGTTTACATGTTTGGCTGATATTAAATTTTAGACTATGCATAGCCAATGGCAGAGTTAAGATACTGTGCTAGGCAATTAAACAGGAGGTTAATGAAAACATAAAAGAGTAAGCAAGATCCTTGTTTAGAAGTTGCAAACACTTTTACAAATATGAGGGTGAACATGCTCTAATAGTCTATGTTTATTGGGAGTGTGACAGGCTACAAGAATAGCATTTAAATTCAAGTGTACATACCATTATATCACCGCTGCAAACTAATCTTGACTTTTTAAGATTACATTCAGAAAAAAACAGCTTTAATTTCTCTTCATCAGAAGCATTCACAAAAAACTGACTCAATTTGTCAAAAGTGCACAGTTTCACATTACTGAGAAATTATTCTCGGCATGTGAAACATGGTACAGATTTTCTCATATTGCAGTAGAAGGTAGAAATTCTTAGGGCTTGCCCAGAAATTTGACGTCTCGCATTACAGGTATGTAAGATGGAAGTGAGTTGCTGATGTGTATTGTAGTATTAAAATTACAGATCAAAGTCATGCAGTCTGGAGAGCCTTGACTCCAGAGCAAATCGTGCAGATCGAGGGGTTTTGATCAGCTGAGCCTTCAAGACCTCAGATCCTGCAGTCCACCCAATGTCTGTTTAGAGAGGCCAAGAAGCTCTTGGGACCCGAGCCCCTGAGGTGTGCTCCTGAGGGACTCAGCAGCATAATCTCAGCTGGGCCAAGTCAGAACATCCTTGAGCTTTCTGGAGACTTGCAGTTCCTTTCTTGATGATCTGTGTGTTTGGCTCATCACTCGGCCTCTGAGGACCAGGGATCTGGTCTAGAGCCCATTTCCTCACCAAAAATGACCACGTGTTGCTGTGGGTGCCTGGCCTCTCTGAGTAGTCTTAGCTGCAGTTGTAACTGCAGCATGTATAGAAGGTGTCATTCCTCTGTGTGTCTGGGTTATTCAGAAGCAGAGTTATATACAGGATACCTTCCCTGCTGTCATCCATAGCATTCTTCTTTCCCTTAATTTAATTATCTTTTTGTTATAGTTTATATTTGTATTCCCTTCTATTTATAGGCTTCTTTTATGTTTTTGTGAATGCAAACAAATTCTGTGAGTAAAACGCAGTGAGTGAACATTTCATGAGGAAACAATGGTCTGATTTATTGCACCATATTCACAGATATTGCTGTTGTCATACAAGGTTGACCTTGTAATCTCAGGGACACAGAACTAGTCTGTATTTCCATTGTCTGATGCTGTCAATGTCAACATGAGAAAAAGAAAGACCAGCTGTGCTACCATCTCAGGAATCCAATGGTCCATGAAACAATATTGGTCTTCCCTTTGTCTTCTCATCTAAACTTGTAGAAGATAATAGACAAGTTTTGGCTGATCAATAAATGAATAGTGAGCAGGAGGGTCGTAATTGCTATACAAGGAATTGCACCATTAAAAGGTTGTTGTGAAATAAGTTTACAAGCCTTAGAATTAATGGATTTTCCAAGAAATATCTGATTTATTCTTGTAATTGAAAACTACTTTGAAACCAAATGAACAATCATCAATGCTGTTTGTGTTGTTAAGGTAATGTCCAAGCAAGTATTGCAGCTAAAAATTGCTGTAAAATAACACACCTTACCTTTTTTCTGTTATTATTGTAGGAGTCACAACAGGGATCTACAGGACACAGCAATACAAGTAAGTACCAACTCATTTTCTAGCTAAATTGCGGGGGGTGACAATGACTATGAAAAAGAAGCAACTGATGAGCAAGGGACTAGTAGCAGACTGGGACAGTGCAGAGCCTCAGCAGGCAGTACTCAGCTATGTGGCAGAATGTGGAGAACCAAACTGAAGAGTGACCATCAAAATGTCAGATCTTTTGGTGACCTGGGAAGAATAAAAAGTATTAATTTTGTTATGGCCATTTCATTACCTAAATGAGAAAGACTGGAAGGGCAAAAGAGTGCCTTTTTTTGGAAAGCCAGAAAAGAGCTGACCTAATTGCAGGCCCAGATCCAGACTGCAAGAAAATTCTGCGAGAAGACTTGTTATCATTTATCTTTCATAGGCAATGGTGTATTTTGTGGCCACTGCACAGTAATAAGCTACATAAATCCTTGCAAACTAACACTAGATAATGTTTTGAAGACCGTATGGCCATGGGTCTTTTTGGCTGGCACTGTGGGTAGGGAAGCAATATTTGCTTGTTTAGCTTCTGGTCAGGGCTTTCCGGTGGACTCCAGTTTACAAATCATGGTGCAGATCAGCAGCATTTTAATTACATTTAGTTACGGTAACAAACTTAGCAGCTGTATTGAAAGGGAAGATTGAATTGTTCTGCAAAACAAAATATTAATCCTCTCCCCTGACACCTCTGACAGTTGTTGATGTTGTCTTGCATATTAAAAATACATGATCCTATCCTGCTCTCCACATAAAATGACTGCAACCAGAGGAATTATTTTGCTAGCTTCCTGACCTGTCAGCCAACACAGAGCCCTGTTTGCAAATTGCAGGGCTGTGACTGAAGACGAAAAGTGCCCTGAGCTGGTAGCTAGGGCCCTGAGCTGGTAGCTAGGGCTTTGAAAGGGTCTAGTCACTCACTGTGTGAGGGAAAAGACATCCAGAGAGACAAGGCTGGGAGATGTAGGCTTTTATAACAGTGTGGCTCTTCACTGGGGAAAGGTCAGCATGTGGAAGGCAATGTTGTGAAGAAACATGCAGTGGTGTCACTTAATTGCTGGCGTTGGTTTGATATCAGTTCAAGTACCAGCACTAAGGAAGTAATAAAAGGCAAAGGGGATGAGGTTCTGTCAGAAAATAATGAATACAGTAATGAGAGAAGGAAGCACAAAAGAGCCATAACAGAGAGGGCTACGCAAACACAGGCAGAGGCACAAGCATGACAAACACACCAGCTGAGTTGAGGGCTTTGCAATAACATCAGAGGCCACAATACTTGGCCAGCTTTGGTCATAGCTGAATATTTCCTTCTTTCAGCAACTGAATAAAATAGGTTTTTCTGCAGATTTAATGAAACTCACTTTCCTGTAGATTATGCAATTGATCCCACATCCTTAAAAGTTTCCTCTACTCTTTACTCCAGCAGTCTCTGACTCCACTTCACTTCCAATTCCCCCATCTGCCTTCCCACACCATAGTACCTCCAGCTGCTTATCTCCTCATTCATCCTGTTTAGCAAAATCAGCATATATTTACAGCTGTGCAGAAGCCAGACTTGGTACTGACTGGCTGATGGCAACCAAACCAAAGAACAGCTGAACCAATGCAGAAGTGTTTTATTCATTGGTACCAAAAGTTTAGGTCACTGTCGGACACCCAGACACTTTTCGTAGCATCACAAAGAGAGTTTGACTACTCTGAGACTGTATTCATAAGGATTCCTGTTGAGGTGCTGGAATAAGACATCAAATAAACACATTAGAATGAGATATAGATTTTACCAGTCCTGTGTGTCAAACCCAAAGGAAATTTGGGGAAAAAATTATTCAGATACATGGTAGGTTTACCCGGACCAGGTGTCCACCAAAGCTGCTGTATCATTCTCCTCCTCACTTGGACACAGGAGAGAAAGGACAACAAAAGGCTCATGGGTAGAGGTAAGGGCAGGGACAGATCACTCACCAATTACCATCATGGGCAAAACGGACTCAACTCAAGGAAATTAATTTAACTGATTACCAGTGAAATCAGAGTAAGACAAATGAGAAATAAATCTTAAAAGCACCTTCTTCCTGGGCTCAACTTCACTCCCAGATTCTCTGCCTCCTCCCCACCACCAGTGTAAAGGGAACGGAGAATGGGGGCTGCAATCAGTTCATCATACCTTGTCTCTGACACTCCTTGCTCCTCACCCTCTTCCCCTGCTCCAGCATGAGGTCTCTCCCATGGGAGATGATCCTTCACAAACTCCTCCAACACAAGTCCTTCCCACAGGCTTCAGTTCTTCATGAACTGCTCCAGTGTGGGTCCCTTTCACAAGGTGCAGTCTCTCAGGAACAGACTGCTCCACTGTGGGCCCCCTGTGGGGGCACAGGTCCTGCCAGCGAACCTGCTCCAGCATGGGCTCCTCTCTCCATGGGTCCACAGGTCCTTCTAGAGGCCTACACTGCTCTCTCCATGGGTCCACAGGTCCTTCCAGGAGCCTGCTCCTGTCCCATGCTGTCACAGCCTCCTTTGGACACCCACCTGCTTCAGCATGGAGTCCCCTGTTGGTTGCAGGTGGATCTCTGCTCTACCATGAACCTCCGTGGGCTGCAGGGGGACAGACTGCCTCACCATGGTCTTCACCACGGGCTGTAGGGGAACCTGTGCTGCAGCACCTGGAGTACCTCCTCCCCCTCTTTCTTCACTGACCTCAGTGTCTGCAGAGCTGTTTCTTCCCATAATCTCACTTCTGTCTCTGGCTGCAGTTGCTTTTGTGCAGCATCTTTCCACCTGCTTACATCTGTTATCCCAGAGGTGCTACCACCATCGCTGATGGGCTTGGCCTTGGCCAGCAGCAGGTCTGTGTTGGAGCTGGTTGGCACTGTCTCCATCAGACACAGGGAAGCTTCTGGCAACTTCTTACAGTAGCCTCCGCTGTATCCAGCCCCTCCATTACCAAAAACTTGCCACACAAACCCAGTACAGGATGTGAGGAAATACTAGCAAATTACTCTGTGGAAAAGAAATCTAATGATCTATGTACTGTATTATCCAAATGCACATCTTCAGAGTCCGAATTAGCTGTTATTTCCCATTGCACTGTGTCTTCTTTGGAGTGGCTCTTGAGCCTGTCATTTGCAATGGTTTTACTGCAGCTGCCAACATTGTCTTTCTCATGGATAACATTTGCATTTCTGTTACCCTTCCCCCACAAGGAAATCAAAGCATTAAAAATCCAATAATGACTGAAGTTATACAACTCCATCACAATAAATATTATTTATCCCTGTTACCCAGAAAGGGAAACGTGTCCTGGTTAGGTTGAGTGATTCACAAAATTCCAACTCAGAGGAGAAAGGTCTTTTTCTGGCCACCTACTATTCAGCAGGGAAATCCTACAGAAGTTCATTTGAAATTTATTTTGAAATTCGAGAAATCTGGACACATAGCTTCTGCTTGTATGTAAAAATGTTAGGAAAGAAGTTGTGTGAGATGAGGTAGAAACTAGCAAAGAACTCCCAGCTCTGTGGGTAAGGATCTGTGGACTGATGATTTCCACTGTGTGTTTTCTGGAGGCATGTGTGCACATACACCCACCAACACACAGACCTACACAGCACTTAGCACCTGAAATAAGGTGTGCTAACAGCAGTCCCATAGCCAGGTGGGGAGCATGTTCTTTGTTAATTCCAAAAAGACTAAGAAAAACAAAGGATGACACTAATTGGCCCAAAAGAAGAAGCCAGAAGAATCTAGAGAAGATTCAGCAATTTGGCAAATGCCAGTCTCCCACAATGGTACCTGCATGCATTTGGCAGGTTACATAAAAATGAGGAGTAAATCTTAGTCTGGCCAAGACTATAAAAAAACGAAGTTGTTGTGACAGGTAATTCTCTTTTACATATGCTTGTCCAAAAACAAAAACTGTACCATGTCTGTGACATTCAACTATACTTAAGCTATATACATTTTTAAAATTTCTAAGATTCAATCAAGTGAGAATAAAATAAAGCATTAATGGCCAGATTTTCTACTCTGATAGGCTGGACTGATGAGTTTTTACCATCTGTACAGGCTTCATCCTTGCCCCCCACACAGAAGTATGTTGAGTGACAATTAGCATAAAAACAGTTACAAATGCTTAGTGTAGGTAATTCGTTAATATCCAGTTTGGCTAAATCACAGAGATTCCATTTCCTCTTTCCTCACAGTACATATACTGTTTTCCTTGTTGCTGCATTAACATATATTGCTGAAAGTAGAACTAATGTGAACTCTGCTGGCAGAGCACTCAGGAATCCATATTCCCTCTCACACTCAAACAAACCAGGGTTCATGGTAATAATTCATGACTTAGAAAAAGCCCAAGTTACAAATAGAAAATCTTTGAATATATGCCAACTGTTACTGTTGGTTTCTTGTTCCAAATTACCATAATGCAGATGAGCTCCAGTGCTCCAGGCACCCTAAGGCTGACAAACACATACTGTAGCAACAGCCTTCTAGCCAGTGAGTTTATCACTTGGATATACTTTCTGAGGGTTCTGCTAAAAGTGAAGAGCAGCCTAGAGATTATGAAGCGGATGTATTCTGTCCTATGTGGATGCCCCGCTCATGCCTAAATTTTGGGTACCTTTAGCTGTCCTCTTACAGAAAGTGCTTAGCTTCTCTAGAGGCCCACAGAGGCATCAGTGAGTTTGAAGTCATCCAGAGCTTTCCCCATCCTGTTTAATAAAGTTGAGGCACCTCAGTTGGGTAGACACAAACCCTTCCAGAGTGGGGAGGACAAGATCTAAAAGTGTCCTCTACAAGACACCTACTTCCAGAAGGTCACTGTCTAGGTTAAGTCCTTCAGCTTCTTTCTGTACAGCAATGGAAGAACATTGGTAGCAAAATCCTGCCTCTTCTGAAGGCAATAGCAAGTTTTCCAGAGGTGCCCCTTACAGTCATTGCTCTATGAAAGCTGAAGGTGAGGACTTTATCAGCAGCAAATGGATGATGCATAATGCCCACATGCATGGACTTGGTCGACCAGGACTTGATGCAAAACCCACTCAATTCAATGAGCAGAAAATTAGGCAACACCACTACAGCCTGGCCAAAATAAGCATTTCTCATTTTTTTTTTCAGAAGGCACGGGTGGATTTTGGTTTAACAAAGCTCATTAAAAGGTAATGGAGAAAAACACATCCATCAGTAAACCAGTCACATTCAACCTCTGTGACTCCTTGTCTGCTAGGCAACATAAACTTATGTATAGACAGCCATTAGCATCCAGTGACACACGAGGAGCAGCAGCTGCACAATCGCTAGGTCCAGAATTCAAGGTGATTCAAGTGGAGTGCCATAACCTGTACATCCATGGTAGAGCTAAACAGAAATCTTACACTGAAGTGCAGCTTTCTTGGGTTACTCAGAGAACATTAAATACAAAAAACAACATCAGCCTTCCTGTGTTTTGATAGGGGGTGAGGGGTAGAAAGGAGGGCAAAGGATTTGGCCTGACTTAGCAGAAGCAGTACCACCTCATGAGCCAGCAGTCTGCCTCCCCCTGTCTGTGCTATGTAACTAAGTTGTGTTGGGCAGATACATTATTTTGGACTCAGTATGGGGGTTGTAACAAGCCAACATGTCAGGACCCATGTGAGTCATAAGGAAATGTGAAGAAGCATCCCTTGGGCCTCTGAAAGTTCTTAAGCATTTGGATACCTGACCTCTCTGACGCTGAGTGCCTTTGCCAAAATGTACAACATAGCAAAGAGGGCTTCCCCAGCCCCTGATTTACAATTGCGAAAGAACACATCCTTAATCTGTCAAAAAGAATGTGAACCAAAATATCCATTGGCAGAATTGTGCCCTAATCACTGCCTTACTATCTCCTGCTGATGCTGTTTTGCTTTGTATGAAATAGTTATTGTTCCTGGAGCAGGGTTTTGGAGCAAGGGCATGTTGTATGGAGTACACTCTGAGTAGCAGAACTGTAGGGCCCTAGAGAAATCCTTTCCTTTGCTCTAGGGTCTGCTGTCCCTGGTAAATGCTGTGTCCTCTAAGCAGCCTCTCTTGTGGAGTTTCTCTGCCTGACATTTAGAGAGTATATGTATCAGGGACAAGAAAAGCCAAGTCAGGATTGACCCCCTACTTGCACATGCTCCAGCAGTGCCCCTGCAGCCCTGTGGTTGCCTCCACAGCCGTTTGTGTGTGTGTGGCAAGAGTGGTCAGTGTTAGCAATGAATAAAGCATTGACATGTCACATCTGAGCAGTTTCCATATTGACCCATTTCTGATGTCATTTTCTTCTTCTTTTTTAAAGGGAAAAGTGATGTAGAGCCAAAGAGCCCAGAGAAAAGCGCAACCCATACATCGTAAGTCACATTTGCGTTTAAAATTAGAGAAGACAGCTGTGTTTTTATCAGATTTGTGGGCAAAATAAAATTTGTTTGTTTTCATTAAGATGATCACTTTCACTGATGCTTTTCTTAAACTGGCTTTTTAGATAATGACTAAACATTAATTATTCCTATAACTTTTGCATGCTAGTAAGTCAGAGATCTTTGCAATTGAAATGGTTCCATATCACACTGAATAGATATGAGATTATTTTTGTGGGTGTGCGAGGCTGGCCTTTACAACCTTACTTCAGCATTACCTTAATGCTGCTGGAGTTTGTCACACTTGCTAAAAAACATTATGTCACATATACCTTTGATGTACTGATGTAATTTTAAAAGACTGCAGTCTGCAGCTTCACCTCCGAATTACTTGAAATCCAATTACAGTTATCTCTGGTCTCTCACGATTTTGTTGATGTTTTTGAATTAACAAAAGAAGTCGAGAAATAGATGGGAACAGGCACTTGCAATATATCAGTGTTCCCCCTCACTCTAGTGCAACAATAGAAGCTTTTACCATTTTTAACTCTAGTATACAAAAGATTAAATTGTTTTGCCAACATAAACCAGTCTATGAAACAGATAGGCTGCAAGTTAAAAAAAAAAAAAGCATCAGTCTCCCAAACTGAGCGAGATAAGTGAATTCTTTTAATAACTACCAGGCAGGAGCACTATGAATTTCTGCAAAGCCATTCACCTTTTTAATCCCATTTGAGGGAGGGAAGTTCTTGTAACAGTCAGTCATGTGAATTTTAGAATGTGTCTAGTCCATAATTTATGTATTCTGATTCCTGTTATTTAAATTCAGAACATTATATCATGTAAATCTCATAAGGTGTCACCATTTGTTACATGGCCAAAAGTATTCACAGAAGGAGGTACAATAACAGTGATTTATTGTGAGATGTTTTGATTTCTGCTGCAAATACGCATTAAAAAATCTTCTGGAAATGAATCTAGAAAAAGATTTGACACAGTGTAAGAAATGGCTTGTCCTGCAGATTGTGTTGTGGAATGCAATTATAGTATGCAAGCATATTTAGCCAAACTTATTAAATGAATTAAGCATTAGCAGCCTTATGCCTTCTGATAGTATGATTGCTGGGAACGGTTAAAGAATTATTCCAATAATTATCATTTTTTAAAATAATATTGCAGTAAGAACCAAAAGAAGAAGGGTTTTAATGCCATCTGGAGGTATTTTGGAGAAATGAACATATTTATTTTTGCTCATATTTAGCAATATGTAAAATGTAAGCTGTCCTCCAAAGTGTTTTTCTCTAGTTAGACAGTATTTTATTGATGAGGAATGTTCCTTTTCCTTTCTGCTCTTTCATCAGACCCTGTACGATCTCTGAACCCACAATAGTGGTATCTCTGAATCCAAAATGTGAGTTCAGAGATACACCTCAGTATGGTTACAAATTTGGTTTGAGACTACATACTGTGTCATATGGTGGGCTGCGTTAGATTGAACAGACTTCAAAATCTGGTCTAGTGTGAAAGGTTCCTTGCCTAATAAGAGATCTTAGTACAACCTTCTGAAACTGTGCTGTCTACCAGATACAGTATATTTATAATGCTTATCTTTAAATTGTTACTATATTCTAAGGCTATTCTACAGCATACATTGGTTCCCAGAACAACTTTTAGAGGTAGAAACAACTGGTTACTGTTGATAAATGACTGCATTCAAGAAGCAGAGGAGCCTCTAGTTAAAGAAAATCTGCAGAAAAGGAGGCAGAAGAAAAAAGAGGAGATGAAAGGAAGGGAACCAGCAAGTGCTGTGCCAAAAGAGGAGGAAGAAAATGAGAGGGGGGATACAGCTAAGAAGTAGAAAAAAGAATTGCAAACATCACGTTTTCAGAAAGAGATACAAAAGTGAGAACAGTAGAAGAGAAAACCAGAGATCAAACACTGAAAACAAGAAAGAAGGGAGAGTGATACAAGTAAAAGCTATTAACAAACTAAAGTGTATGTGTTAGTCAGTAGAGGACTGGGTCCATAAGCATTATAGTGAAGGAATGCAACTCGTGTTGATATGTAGGCACACACCGATGCCTCAGTTCTCTTTATGCTACCCTGCTCTTGGCCTTCCACAAGTTTCTTCTCTTTTCCGTCTTCTTCTAGGACAGGCTTTTATCCCTGGTATCTCAGGCAGTCATGGATACAGACTTTCTCTGCTCTTTTGGTGGTGTAGCAATTCGCACCTGTGTACACAATGCACAGGCAGAAGGACCTACAGTGCAGGCACACACGTGGATGTGTGAGTGTATGTGCTCGGTTTGTCCACAGTATGGGATGTACTCTTCCCTTGCACACATGAAGAAGGCAATGCCGTTGTGCAGCTGGATGAGAGGTCCAGCAGTGCCCAGCTAGGAGCTGCAGGGGTGTGCAAGGAGGCATGAATGCTGCCAGGGGTCCCTGTGAGTAGAAAAGCCTGCATCTTCTTGTGAAGTGTCACTCCCCTGAGTGTAGAAGGAGTCCAGTTGGCACCTCTTGGCAGGGGTGCTAAAAAGGAACAACATTGATATAGGAGAGATGGCACGTTCTGGCCTGACCAGGAAAATCTGTGAATTCATTTCACTGTGAATCAGTGTTTCCCTGTGAAAATGGAACAAACAGCAACAAAAAAATCCCGCAAAGTAAGTCATGTTTGCCTAGAGGAAAATAACAGAGAAGATGGGGAGGAGTAAATTAATGTTTCTTTCTTGAAAATGTCTTTTTTATTTTCCTCAGGCATGTTACAAGCCACACACTCAAGCCAAGTTTATATGACTCAATGGCAGTTAATTCATCCCTGGTGTAGATATACTACCTCCATCCAAACATTATTTATGCAGCTTCAAAGGACAGGTTGATTACCCTCCTGAATCAGGCAGTGAGGCATTTGTGCACCAAGCATGCACATGATGTCTCCGCTTCAAGACATTCCTCATGCCTTGTCCACTGGTCTCCAGGTCCTCAAAAACAAATGTAAGTCTGAGACCTGCAGCACTAGGGCCAAAGGTGCTAACATGTAACCTCCCCAAGTATAGAAACCTAGAGAGCAGGACATGGGGTGGTCTGTTCAGAGGGGTTTGGGTACAGTAATCATACAGAATGGCATTATGCATAGGGGTTTTTTTCCTATATGCATTAACTCCCTGGACAGACTTGGTATGATACAGCTCTCCACTGATAATAATATTAAACATTAAAAAACTAGTATGCATTAGATGATGCACATTAATTGATGCAGCATCCTAATGAGGCAGCTAAATAAGGGCAGTTATTACAATGCTAAGGATAACTGAGATGGATTTAGGAAAATTAAACTAATGAGAAAGCAGGAAGGAAATCTGAGCAGAGCTGTGTTGTTTTGCACGATATTCCTATGGCCTTCACCACTTTGGTGTGCACAATAATCACCTGAGCTGGCACTGAAGAATTGCAGTAGAAGATACCAAGGTGTAAAGCTGTCTGGAGTCTTCCCCAGTTGATTCATGTTCCTTGTAATTGTCATGTTCCTTGTAATTGAGTGCTTTTAAAGCTATGAGAATTGTGGATTTGAAGGGATTTTGTTGTTGTTGTACTCAATATATATATAGCTCTTTAAGGGTCATACGGTTACAGCTTCAGTGAGCATTTCTAAACTTTTAGGATTGCTCAGAAATATCCAGCAATGTTTTGTTCTTTTGGTTTTATGACAAGAGGGTCAATTTTCAAGGGTCAGAGAACTTCCACAGTTTTTGTTAAAAACACCTAGTTTTTGTTAAAATCCTTCTCCCCCCTGGTTTTGCCAGTTGTAGTCTGGAGGGCTACAGACTGTATTAAAGAGTGGGGAATGAATAAAGAAAGAGAGCTCTTTGGTTCTTTAATATTTGAATTTATAGAATTTTAGTCTTTCTTTGGCAGAAACTGTGTCCTCTCAGTAAGCTTTGGATTGTTGCAACTAAAACTTTTAATTTTATAAAACTTGCGTGCAAAGCAAAGTGATTCCAACCAGTACACATGTTTCCAAGGACCTTGCAGTGCCACAGAAACTCCTCCATGAGTGAGGGGTCTAGGATCTTCCATCCTCCCACTTGCAAAATATGACAATAATTAAAAAATGGCAAGCATACACAAAGCACTCAGCATGATTCCTGCTCTTGGAATGACTTTCGATGTCTGTTGATATGTTCTTCAGTACCTTTGTGTTTGTAAATGATTTCCGGTTCAGACTACCCAAGGTTAATCATGCCTGACTGTGATTCACTGTTTATGCATTTACCTCGACATTTCTAGTGCACTTACTTAATGATATCAGGGCTAGCAACTAGATACCTCAGTGCTGTCTCTTTATTAACCCTCCAACAATTGTTTTCATGCTGAGCTGCTCCAGATTTTTCCCTCCCTTTTTACAAGAGAATTAACCAAGATTGAGGGACACTTTTATAATTTATGGCAGTTATGCAGGTTTTATCCTTTGCTAATATTCTCTGAGAACCACAACGACCACACTGTGTGTGTGTTGGCTTGTTTGCTTTTGCCAGGCAGAAATAGATGTTGACTCTGTTCCTTTCCTGCACTGGTCCCCAGCATCACTTGCAGAATGGTTTGCTCAGGGGGATCTTCATTAACTACTAAATTCAGCAGCTTCCAAGCTGCCCATTTGCAGACATTAGTGCTACAATTTCTTGCCTATCCAACACCTGCTCATTGTTCTCACCACCCTGATTCTTCTTCAGGAAGGAAATAGAAAGTGGCTGTTGTTGTTGCTTGATGTGACACATCTGTAGTGGTATAAACTGTCACCTGTGGGTTCTTTCTTCCTCCCTTCTGTGTTGCCCCTTGTATCTTCAGAGTGACTCATGGATAAACAGCCAAAAACTCCTGCTGGTTTCCCCTTCTGCAGGTGGGAAGACTGAGGCAGAGGGGTTACAAAGTGCCTGCAGAGAACAGAGAGAACCAGTCCCAAATGCAGGCAGTGAGCTTGAGTGAGTGTCATC